CATTGTACTGATATTGCACCATAGTCTACTGGGCAGGTGATCAAGTCTTCTCTGCATTCTGACCAATCCTTGTTAAAGACAGGGAGATAAACAGTTCCGGTAATGCACAAGGCATTATCATTGAGATTGAGATTGAGACAGGTATTGAGGGTAAGGTGAGACTGGGCAGGAATGAATTTGCTAGTGAAGTCAGGCAGGGCTGATAATACTCTAGCTTGTGATTTGGATTTGGAATGATTGGGGCAGCTGTAGAACAAAACTTTGCCTACTTCTTTTAGGAGATATGGTTGGAAGAGGCAACCAGGATGGAGTCGAAAAGTTGGCAACTGGCGAAACAAACGTAGTGAGACTTGCTAAAGAGGAATTCACAGTAGGAACATGGAACGTTCGCACTCTTCATCAAGAAGGCAAAGTGAATCAACTGACATACGAGTTAGATAGATACCAATGGCATGTCCTGGGAATTGCTGAGATGAGATGGTTGAACTCAGGGGAAACTACCACAGATGAAGGACACAAACTCTGGTACAGTGGTGATGAGAAACACCACAGAAAGGGTGTTGGCTTTCTTGTGCTCAGAGAATATGCTTAAGCAGTAATGGAATGCGAGCAAATGCCGCAGTGCTACCCACGAGAAAAAAACTACCAATTGTGCAGGTATATGGTGACTGTGAGCTGAGGAACTTGACACTGGATAAGATCCCAAACATACAAGGTGATTGGAATGCAAAGATCCAAAATTGGAAAGGAACTATAGGAACGAACGTGGTGCTAGATGAATTTTGCAAACTAAACAACTTGGTAGTGGCTAATACTTTTGGCAAACACAAAACGTCAAGAAGAGTTACATGGATAGCACCTGATGGTACCACAAGGAATCAGATTGACTTTATTCTCCTGGATAGGCGATGCAAAAGCTGCATTAAGGTTAACAAAACAAGAAGTTTTCCAGGTGCAGACATTGGTAGCAACCACAACTTGCTGATGATGACCATGAAGTTGAAAATAAAGAAAGTACGAAGACAACCAAACTGCAGAATTAAATATAACCTGCAGCAACTGAAGGACACAAAATGCCAAGAAGAATTTGAAGTAAAGATTGGTGGTAGATTTGGTGCACTACTGGAAATGGAAGAGAGTAATGTACAAAACCTTACATCTGAATTCTCTAAAATTATGAACGAAACAGCAATGGAAGTTCTAGGAAAAGCAAGAACAAGAAAACAACCATGGATGACACAAGACATTTTGAATGCATGTGACAAGAGACGGGAGCTAAAGGCCAGAAGATTCATCGACAGTGACAAAGAGAAGGAATATAGAAATGCTAACATCAAGGTCAGGAAAGAAATAAAAAAGGCAAAGGAAGAATTTCTGGAACAAAAATGTCAAGTGATACAACAAGGTTTTGAAGAGAATAACAGCAAAAAGGCTTTTGATACAATCAAACAGCTAAACAGAAAGAAATCTACAAAGCAGCCAAGCATAGAAGACGCGAATGGGAACCTCTTAACAGAGAATAGTAAGATCCAGGAACGATGGACTCAGTATGTGAAGGAACTATATAACTATCCAATCCAGACGAGCCCAGAGATTGTAGAGAAGAACTGGAACAAGGAGGTCCTGGAAACATCGACGATGCTGACGAACCTGACATTACAAGAAGAGAAGTTGAACATGCAATTGGCAAATTAAAAAAAGGCAAAGCTGCTGGAGTGGATAATATACCAGCTGAGTTACTCCAAATAGGAGAATCCACTGTTATAATACTTCATAAAATTTGTAAGCTAACTTGGGAAAACAATCACTGATAATACCAATACCAAAGAAAGGGGACTAACGAAAATGTAGCAATTATAGAACCATCAGTTTAATTTGCCACGCAAGTAAAGTAATGCTAAGAGTAATTGCGGAGAGACTTAAACCTCAGATTGAGAGTGTTCTGAAAGAGGAACAGGCTGGCTTCCGTGAAGGACGTAGTACTGCAGAACAAATTTGCAACGTCCGAATCCTTGGGGAAAAATTCCGAGACCATCAGCGAGAACTACATCACACTTCATTGATTTTAAGAAAGCCTTTGATAGAGTGTGGAGAAAGGCTCTGTGGTACACGATGAAGAAGCACAACATCAGCTTACACTTAGTACATCTGATCGAAGCATTGTATGATGAGGCCACAAATGCAGTAATATCTGACGGAAGTGCACTTAAATGGTTCAGAACTACTGTTGGAGTACGACAGGGATGCATACTTTCACCCATGTTGTTCAATTTGTTTTTAGAACAAATAATGCTTGAAGCCATGGAAAATTTTGAAGGAACCTGTTTCAGTGGCAAGACAAAAAGAGAGCAATCTAAGATTTGCGGATGACATCGATTTGATTGCTGGCAACAGTGAATAACTTTCTAACATCACGGAAAGATTGGACAGCATAACAAGGAAGTATGGAATGGAGATAAGTAGTGAAAAAAGCAAGATTATGGTAACATCAAGGCAAAACAGCGAAGAAAGTGACACTGACATCAAAGTGGGAGGCGAGCATTTATCAACAGTTGAAACATTTAAATACTTGGGATCCACCTTGAACGAAAATATGACATCACAGAATGAAATCACCACTAGACTTGCAATTGCAACATCACAATTAGCCAAACTAAGTAATATCTGGAACAGCAAGAAAATAAAGTGAAAACAAAGATCAAATTAATGCACGCACTGATAACATCTGTAGTGCTTTACGGTTGTGAGTCATGGACCCTCAACAAACGGTTAGAAGAGAGACTAAACGCTTTTGAAATGCGTTGCTTTCGTATTTTGGGAGTCAGTTACCAGGATCACCGTACCAACACATCCGTTATTCAAGAAGTCACTGAAAAGGCCGGATCATTTGAACAACTGCTCAAAACGCCAGAAGGAAGCTGCAATGGTTTGGACACGTAACGCGCCGTCCAGGGATCCTAGCGCATAGCATCATGCACAGGACAGTTGAAGGCACAAGAAAGCAAGGAAGACCCAAAACGAACTGGCTTAGTGATATTCAAAGATGGACTGGGAAAAATGATCACAGAATGTATAAGACTGGCAGATGATTGCGCCGGGTGGAAGAGAGAGGTGAATGCAGCAAAGTGCCCCAACGGTTTTACGACTATGGGAGTGACTTGACTTGACTTGGTTGGAAGAGGAGTGTTGTAAGAATAAGGGGCTGTAAGGGGGGGTACAAAAATTTATCCCATTTGGCTGGGCCAAACAAAGTACTCATAAGATTTGTAGAGGTGGGGGTAATAGAAGGATGTGTCCTTGTGGATGAGGGAGTGGTGTTGTGTGAACAAGTCCTGCAGAAAGTAGGCATTGAGGAGGGTAGTAGTAGCATCCAGTTGTGGTCAAAGGAGTCTAGGGTCAGGGAACCAGGGGAATAAAAATAAGTGGGACCAGTTGATAAAGGGGCAAGCCTCACTACTCCTAATAAAGGTACAAAATCTTCATTACTGGCCATGATAAGCTTGAAGTATGTAGAGGGAGAGAAATGGTCTACCTCTCAGGGTCCCCTTGAGAGGTAACTTCGACAACTGAATGGGAATACCGTGTCCATGGCTCCCCTATGCTGTTCAGTGACTGGTACATAGTCAGCCTTTCATCTTTTGAGCATGGCTCAAACACCTTAGGAAGTGGATAGTAAAAAGGGTTGGAAAAGAGGGGAAGAGGAAACTGTAAATTATTTTTACCTCCCAAGCACCCCCTTCAAAAAGCATGGGAGGGTGAGGGTTCTTGTTTTTCTTCAAGATCCACTAGTGATTAGTTTTATCTCATTCACTATTGGTTCCTCTTTCATCATTTCTGGAGAATCATGTATTTTCTTCCCACTCCCAACAGTCTACATTACTAGTTATTCTCTCTGGGAGGTAATCTTTCTAGCATGGTCATTCACTATTGTAGCTGTATTTTTTTTTTTCCCCCTTACTATGATACCCAGGATTTCAGTTCTAGTGGGGCCCAAGTCAACCAAAGCCCTTTTCTTTTGCAAGTAGATCACTTGCCTTATTAAAATCTTGTATCTTCATCATGGGTGCTATTTCCTGCAAACTGAACTATTCCCAATTTATTTTTATTCCTCATTCCTTGTTTTCTTCCTTGCCTCCAATTTACTTAACCTCAAAATGACCACTCTTTCAAATGATTCACCAAAGTTAGCTTTTCTTTTGAATAATGCTTTGGGGTAGTTACTGCATCAGACAAAAAAAGAACTAGCAGGTTATTCCAGCACGTATGGGTCATGATAAGCACTTGTATTCAGATACTTTGGACACCTTTTACAGAGAACTTCTTGTCTTCAGGTTTAACTGTATCCAAGTTCCAGCACCTTGCACTCATCATCCAATAACCATCAACATACTGTGTCACATCCCAATAACCATCAAGCTGCATTATATAACATCCAATCAGAGCTGATCAGACTTTGTTGCCACTCCAGTGGAAGTCTTCATTTCTTGATCACTACCAAAAAAAGGCATCCAAAAGGTCTCTGAATATGAGTCGACACATGCTCATGGCATTCTTGAAACCTACACACGCTTCTTAACTAATAAGGTTTAGTTTCAAAGTTCTTGCCAACATTTTTTATATGGCTTATTGCATATCAAATCACTAATCTCAAACACTTTCTCCTCTTCCATGTTTGGTACTTGAAGATGGGACAAGTTTTAAAACTTCATGGAAATGGAATTGCTTTTATACGTTCTACACAATTTTCTTCCTTAAAATGCAGTGGCTTGTTCAGACTTCCAAAATGCCCCAATTACCTTACTTTACTTCAATACCTGTGGTCCATCACAAAGTACCCAGCTGAAATATCTAGGAACAATGCCTGTTAAGACAAGGCATAACAGGCAAGAGCAATGAGGAAACTTGTTTCCAAGTAGTTTGTCCACCCATGATGTCCTCTACTCATGCCCACCTGTGCAGACAGGCCTTTTCAGCAAATGTTTAAAACAAATGACTTGCTGTTAAAACTAGGACAAGCTTTATTATAACTTGCTTCTCCAGTATGTCAACAATCCACAACCATATTTGACAAAAGGGGTATTTTGATTAATAGTATACATGGTCTTCAGAACACCTGATTTAACAATATTACTCTTTTTAAAGTATATAAAAATAAAGATCCCAGAGAAGGATTTTGAACATTTATAAGCTTAAAATAAAATTCAATATATTGGGTGCAAATCCATTCTTTTTCATAAAAAATTTACTTGTATTAGTTGTATCTAAGAGAAGGCGAGGGTGGTACAACTGGACAGGTAACTTTTGAGCTGGGCATTTCACTTATTCAAATTAGGATGCTTTTTGTGGCCAATTCCTCATATTCAAGATTCATGACAGGAAGAGCATGCACACAATGGTCAGAATCAACAATGGGTTTAGCCCTCCATGCATACTGGACAAGGATCATGAAACCAATCATAAAAAATGGCAAACGGTTTTGTTGGCTTTTTTTTATTATTTTTTTCTCCGCAAAGTACACAATTAGGCCTCGTCCTTAATCTTAAGAGCTTCAGCCCTTCTCTGTTCCAGGCGCTCTTCCCTGCGCTTGCGAGCTTCCTTGGCACGGGTCCTGCGGGCCTCGGCCTGGTCGCTGAGCATCTTGGCACGGGCATTGTCGGCCTTCTTCTTGTGGATGTACTCCATAAGGACACGCTTGTTCTTGAATGCATTACCCTTAACCTGAAAGAAAAGGTTTAAATGAACCCATTAAAGTCTTAAAATGGCTGTCAAACAGTTGGCCAAAAACCTGGTTTAATTTTAAATTGAGGGGGACTTTCTAAATAACACATATTCTAACCTTAACAGTTAATAATTCTGACAATTAGTCTTCAATCCTGTCAGCAGTCTTAAATCTAGTACCCTCTTACCAATCATGAACTGGTCACTTTCAAAATTGTAGAATGAAGCCCAAATTCCAATTTAACTAATGTATATCAAAAGCTGACACATATCCAGTAGTACAAACTGGAGTAAACTGTTTTCTACTTCTTAACAATTAAATGAAGTCCAATTGAAAATATAAAAACTCCTGTCATGTAAGTATTAATGTTTGACCCTCTAACTTCCTTAGTCAAAAAAGTAAAATACACACATACTCTTTCTCCTTAACCCATTCGTCCCGGGTGTCACATATACGAGACACAGGGAAAAGTAAACAATGTCGGGCTGCCCGCCAGTACGATGCTGTCTCGGAGCTGTGCTCCGAGGCAGAAGCAGCACGCGGCCAGGCGGGCGGACAGACTCCGGGGAAGCTCCGCCCGCCGATTTTGTAGCCACCCGGATTTTTTAAATTTTGGCTACAAAATGTACCCGGCGTGAGTGGGTTAAACACTAAAAGAATCGGACAAGTTCTACAGATACATACCTTCAAGTACAGCTCGTGGTACAGGTGCTTGTCAATCTTCTTGTTTTCACGGTACTTCTTCAACATGCGTCGGAGAATACGGATGCGCCTCATCCACAGAACCTAGAAGCAAACAAGAAAGAATCATTACACAGAGGAATTATCTTGCATAACTTTTTTTCTTACTGAATTTCTGACACTTTTCAATACAAAGCTTCAATGAAAATGTAAAAGGAAACAAGACAGCAGACTCTAAAGCATTATTATACTTAAGGACAGAAGGAAAATGTTGAGGTCAGTTTAGGGTGGTTGCCAAACTCCCTGTTTATGGAAACTATTTCAATATTTAACCCTTTTTATACAGTGACAGACGCTGGCATCATGAAGTGGAACATCCGGTGACACCAACGTTGGCATCATAATCCCATTTGATTTAGTTGCTAAATGATCCTGTACAGTGTACTGGATCTAATTTTAAGACTGGAGCTCCACCCACTATCCCTGTTTCCACCATCAGCTAGATATACCCTACCCCATACCCAGAATGAGGATTTACCATTAGCAGATTCTACATCATAACTTCCTCATCAGTGGTCCTTCCCCTGTCCTCCCTTATTCCTTTACCTCACCCCATGCCCCTCTACCAGGGATGGGAGATTGTACGGAAGGGTACAGTTTCCCCTCCCTGGTTCATTCCTTGTCCTAATACCTCCTCCCCTCCCGTCTCACTTTCACTCTTTCTCATGTGTGCGCGCGTGTATATGCGTATGCGCGCGTGCGTGCGCTTGTGAGAAAGGGGTAGGAACTATTAGACAGTGACATTCAGGACAACACAAACAAACTCCGCTTGCAACTAGCATTGCACGCTTATTATACAAACAGATTGAATGGGTTAATTGCAATTCAAAACATCCTGATCTGGTTTTATTACAACCCATTTGACTTATCAAACTTTTCCCTATCAAAGTTAAGCTAGCAAATACATTTCAGGTCTCACAGAATTATGCATCTAATTCATTCAGTGGACATGTGCAATTTTTTAGGTAAATTGTCAATTTGTCTTGCATCTCACTTGTGTATGAACATCATTTTGAGATGTGTAAATTTATTAGCGTGGCATACGACATCACGAAGTGCCACCATGGACTGCTTCTTGTATACAAGGTACTTTTTTGACATGTCACCAAGTTACATTACAAAAAAAAGGTTTTCTTACTATTCCAAAGTCTGTAAATATCATTTAGATGGCATCGTTACATGCCACAACTGGTGTGGACTAAAATATCAGACAGCACCCATGGAGGTGCTACAAAAGGAGTTACTGCTATGACAGCACCACCTTGAGTGCAGTAAGTTTAAAAAACGTCTTCACTAAATACAATTCTGATTTTTCATCTTGAGCAATGAAGTCTTTAGGGTGATAATTACATACCTAATACTTCTGTTCTTCATGGATATCTATTCTGTGCAGTTCTATTTAAAATCATTAACAGTAAAAGTGCTATATTATTAAGAAAATTATTCATTCTATATAGTCTACTTAACTGCATGAACACAGTATGCTTATAATATGCGTTTACATATAATGTTGTATCGATAGTATTATAACATTTAAAAGTTGCTCACAATGTTAACTGAATTGGGGAGGAAGGGATCAAGGTGCAGAGCCTTAGGTTTGGACGCTGTTAGTTCATACAACAACCTGGTGTTGGTGTACCTTGGATGGGGTTCATGTGCTTGTTAGTTTGAGTTGGGGATAACTTCTACCATATATACTCTGACAAGATGTAGATCTTAAACTAAATCCTTTACCAATAATTTAAATCTAAAAAAGCACATGGCAGATGCATCTTTTAAACTTTAACCCTGCTACATTTAAAAGAATGTACCTCCATTAATGATTTACAAAAGAAAAAACTACAGAAAAGTAAAAATGTCTGTTTCTCTTAATACAAAATCCATTGCAAATAAATAATTTATAGGAACATTCAAAACAGTAAAATCTCATTACTTAGACTACTGGCAACCACCCCTAACTAAACCCCAGAGATCAGTGTGATGCTCACCTTGGAGGGCATACGGGCTTCCTTCGTACCCTTCCTCTTACCATAACCCATATGGCGACCCTTCCTGCGTGCCTCCATCATCTTACGGGCACGGAATCGCGAGTGCACATTGTTGGGCTTCTTGATAATGAGACCATCTCGGACAAGCTTGCGGATGTTCTGGCCTG